AAATCACAAAATCCCAGAATTCCAGAACGTGCTGAGCTGGAAGGGACCCACAAGGACCATCCAACCCAACCCTCAGCCCTGCACAGCCCCATCCCCAAAAGTCCCACCCTGTGCCCCAGAGGGTCACCCAAACCCTCCCTGAGCTCTGGCAGCCTTGGGGCTGTGCCCACTGCCCTGGGGAGCCTGGTCAGTGCCCCAAAACCACCCTCTGGGGGAAGAACCTTCTCCTGAGATCCAACCTGAGCCTGCCCTGGCACAGCTCCAGCCATTCCCTGGGTCCTGTCCCTGCTCACACAGAGAAGGATCAGGGCCTGCTCCTCCTCTTCCCCTCCCAGGAATGCCATGGCAGGGGGTGGGATGAGATGATCTTTGAGGTCCCTCCCAGCCCGAAGCATTCCAGGATTCTGTGACAGGTCAGGAGGCAGAGCCTTTAGACATTGAGTTCCTCACGGTCCTGCTGCTTCCAGCACTTCAGAGACCCCCCCCAGCTCTGCCACAACCCCCCCAGGAGCAGCTGAGGACCAAACACCTCCTTTTGAACTGTGACACAAAGAGGGGGGAAAGTCAGAGACACTTCACACCAAATATCCACCGACTGCAACTCCTCCATCACTGGGGGCTTCACGTGGAGAGCTGATCTTGGAGGTCAGCACAGGAATAATTATCTCAGAGCTGCTTTTCAGTCATCAAATTAAACCCCCTGTGCCCCCTCCCCTCTCTTGGCTGGCAACTTGCTGATGATCTGAGTAAAGGCTCAGCCCAGCAAGAGGCTCTGAACCTCTGGCCACATCTGCCAGAGCAGGAGAGGCAAAGGGCCCCCCGGGCACCTCTGTGCCACCCCAGGCAGGCAGAGGTTCCCAGCTCAGCCCCAGCATCACAAAGTTCCTGCTCGTTAAGGAACCCAAGCTCATTAAAAGGTGATGATAGCCCAGCTCAGCACCAACCCGCTCCCAGCCCTGCTAGAACTCCAAATACACCGAATTTCCCCATGCACCAAAGCTGCTGTCAGGCACCCCCAAAACCCAACCAAAGCTGCTGGGGCTGCTGTCAGGCACCCCCAAAACCCAACCACAGCAGCAACCCCCAAATAATGCAAAGAAACTTCCCTCCCATCTCCCAGGGGTGTCTCGGGGTGACCACCAGCAAACACTGAGAGTCCTCTCCCCCTCCAGCAGAGCAACCCCAACCAGCTCGTTCGAAAAACCTTTCCCAAGCAGCATTTTTATACCTGTAAAAGCAGAAATAAATCTGCATTTCACAGGCAGAGAGTCCCAGAACGGCTTGGGTTGGGGGGCACCTTAAAGCCCATCTCATTCCAACCCACTTTTCCCTGGACCAGGTTGCTCCAAACCCCTGTCCAAACACTCCCAGGGATGGGGAGGCTTCTCCAAGCAATTCCAGCAGCTCCAGAGGCTCAGACTTACCCAGCTCCTGGGGAGAACAGCTTGGGGATGTGACCAGGGAGTCCCGGCAGCAGCAGAGCTTTTATGCAGGGACCAAACGTGCCCCGGGGGGGTGAGGGCCCCACACGGGCCCCATTAACAGTCAGGAAAAGCTGCAGCTCCCTCGCTGAGTCCCATCAGCACACTCACCCCTGACAATGAGTGGTTTGGTGGCAGCTTCCCAGAGGAAGAGTCATTAGTGCAGGAGGATCCTCCCTGGCACGGCAGGACTGAATGGCATCTGGGGGAGCAGCAGCAGCAGCAGCCCCTGCCTCGGGGCTTTTGGGAGTGCACCCAAAAATAGGGGTGGTTTTCCAAAGGTTTCGCTGGATTTGCAGTCTGTGGAAGTGTCCTGGTGGTCCCACGGGAACGGGGCTGGGACATCCCCTGTGGTGGGGCTGGGAGAGCTGCCCCGAGCTCCCCATGGCACAGAATCCCAGAATCCCAGAATCCCAGAACCACAGAATCACAGAATCACAGAATCCCAGAACCACAGAATCCCAGAATCCCAAAATCACAGAATCCCAGAATCACAGAACCACAGAATCCCAGAATCTCAGAATCCCAGAACCATAGAATCCCAAAATCCCAGAACCACAGAATCCCAAAATCCCAGAATCTCAGAATCCCAGAACCACAGAATCACAAAATCCCAGAATGTCCTGAGTGGGAAGGGACCCACAAGGATCATCGAGTCCAACTCCCCCTCCTTCTCTACCCCCCTGGCTGGGGCTGGCAGAGCTTCTCCCCCACCCCAAAGCCCAGGAGGTGCTGGTTGTGTTGGGGCAGGTTGGACACGGGATCAGTGCTGGATCTGCTGGGGCAGGTTGGACACGGGATCAGCGCTGGATCTGCTGGGGCAGGTTGGACACGGGATCAGCG